TGGAGGGTCGCTGCGGCAGCCGCAACCCACGGGCCCATGACTCGTAGTAGGAGCTCAGGCAGCAGCACCAGCCCTGCCACCCACAACTGTGCAACGTCAGGCAGATCCTTTGATGTCTCTGAACCTTAGTTTCTTAGCCTGTAAAATAGGGAGAGCTATGCTTTTGGAACCACCTGTGTGGTTCTCAATGGAGGCAATTCTGGTCCCTTAGGTAGCCCTTAGAAGTGGAGAGGGGGCATTTGTAGTTGTCACAGTGACAGAGGATGCCACTGAATTTAGTGTTTAGTGGACAGGGAGGTTACTAAACATGCAGTGCCCAAGCAGCCCCCCACATCCAGGAATTGCCCTGCCCCCATGTCACGTGCAAGTTATGCAAGTTCTGTTTGATGCTCAATGTAGCTTGCAGAAGGAATAGTCTAGCTGGCAAAGGTGGGCCTCAGGGCACGTGGGGACTGAGGAAGGTGGGCATGGGAATATGAGGTGCTGCAGAGGCACTCGCGCCCAGCTGGACACAAGCAGACCATGGAATGGGAAAGGAGGATGTGCCAAGGAGCCAGGCTGCAGGGCTGATGCGGAGGTCGGGCCAAGTGGGGCTGCCGAATAGCATGGCCATGCCCAGAGCCTTCCTGTAGGTTGCAAAGCATTTTCCGGGCAAGGTGGGAGGTGCTGCCAAGCCCTACGTAGTACCTAGTGCTTGCTCAGCTGCCCTGGAGCCTTGGGCCAGCCTGCCGTCCCTGGCTGAGCACTGAGCAGCTGCACTCCTCTCCTGGGCAGCCCGTCCTCCCTCCTCATAAACAGGATGCTCCTTCCTTTCCCATGAGACACTGTACCCATTTTCCAAGTTCAAGGTCTCTTAAGTTAGGCAAATACATTAAAAAGAATTTTGGGTTCAAGTTATGCAATAGTATTCCCCACCTGAGTCCAGGGGTTCTCTGAAATCGAGGGTTGGAGGAAGACTTCCTTGCCCCACCCAGTTCCTGAGAAGGATGGGCCCATGTTCCCCTGCAAACTGGTGACAGGGCTGTGCTTTTGTGCCACTAATTCCCCTTTTCCTCCTGGCTAGGCCTGTTCCCCTGGAAAGCTGCGTGCCAACAGAGGTTCCCTTCCCGACCCAGGAGAATGGAAAGAGAGACTGGGGCCGAGCCAAGGCTGGGAAGGCATCTGCCCCGCAGAAGGGGTGCATGAAGACCTCGCTTGTCCACCTGCACCACCGCACAGGCGGTCTGCCTGGGCTGAGGGCCGCACAGCCACGATGGATGTTTATGGGCGCCCAGCCAGAGTTCGCCATCCTGCACTTCACCCCGACTGCACCTGCTTCCCCCTCTTAACCTCTGAGAGGACACTTCAACCCGCGGACAAGCCAAAGTGACTCCCGGCTCCGTCTGATGCCAGTTGAGCCTTAAGCCTGGTGGGGCTTAGCCTGAGGCCGGTCTGTTTCAGGGAGTGACTCAGAAGGAAAAGCAGCCCAGGAGCGTGTCGCGGAGGGCCGGCTCCAACTCACTGATCTCAAGTTGTCTGCTCTTCCTCAGGTTGGCAGACTGACACCAAGCTGGAGGGGTGCCATGTTGCTCCTCTGGCCAGAAGTTTTATTGAAAATGTGAGTGATGTGAATACTTGATTTCGATAAACCTGTAAAAGCAATATTTAGGAGGCTGACTTCTTTCAATTAAAAGAATGTATACAATTCCAACCCCTGGGGCCCCGGTCTTTTTTCCTTTTTTTTTTTGAGCTTTGGGATATGTTTAGCAAAGAGCAGAAGAGTCAGGGCATCCCAAATTAGAGATCCAACAGAGTTTGGAGAGCCAACCCCCACTGGGCCAGCTTGAGGGTCACAGACCAGCCCCCCCTTCCAGCTCCCACAGCCCAACAAGCCAGAGCAGCCTTTAGGCTCTGGAGGGGAACACTTGGTGGCCTCCCTGGAAGTCAGGCCTGAATCCCAGGGAAATGGAAGTGTGGGACCCTCAGGCCAGGCGCTCGTAGACCTATTAAAGACAAGGGCAATGACTGAGTGAGGGAGGGAATAGCTGAATGAGTAAATCCTGGTCCACTTGCAGTTTCTCGGAAACGGAGCAGTGATTCCAACTGCAGAGCGCTTGCTGATTTTCAAAGCGCTTCACATACACACCAGGCTAAGCGTGGCTTATGGGTGATTAACCCCGTCCTACGGGCCTGAGGCGGAAAGTGAAGGTGCCACAGGAGTTGAGTGGAGACCGTCAAAGCACCCCTTGTCTCCACGGAAGTCTGAGGAAGGGGATACCAAGAAATGCAGAAGGCAGACATTTGAGAGACCTAGGAAGAGGGTGACCGTGAGAAGGGAGACGTCCACGTTGGAGAGGTGATGCCCACCCCCTGAGCATCACTGCCCACCTCATAAACGGGTCGGGGTAGTTCCAGCACACTGTCGTGTCTGCCCACAGGGCTCTCCCAGAGAAGGTGGAGGCTGAGATGACGTCATTTTTTTAGAGGTTTCTGCCTTAGGGCACATGTGCTTGTCAGAGAGACAGACAGTGAGAGGGAAGGTGAGAAAGCACCCCTGGGGGGGATGGCCAAACTGCAGTCCTTCTCCTCTACTCGCCTCCCAGGATCTTGGGCACGCATGCAAATGTGCCTGGTTTGAGTTTTAAGCCACCAGGTCCACGTCTCCAACCATGGTCAGCCATGTGGGAGTCCAGCAATGTAACCACTACACCGTAGGCTGGCCCCCATCTTTCTTTTTTTTTTTAAATTTGCCAGTGGGCATGTGCACTGGCCGGAGAGAGACAGGGAGAGGGAGAAAGCACCCTCCATGGGGCATGGTCATGCTTCAATCCATTTTTTCCTCCTGTCAGGATTTGGGCTTGCACACAAACCCATTGTGTTTCTCAAGCTGCTGGAGCCAGGATTCGAACCACATAGTTGGCTACGTGGGATCCCAATACCCCAAACGCCAGGACACAGGGCTGGCCTGAGGTGACATCTTGACTCCTTCCTTCACAGGAATATGACCTGTAAATGACCCTTGCATATCTGTAGGGACAGTGACTTACCCATCTCTCATGATGATTGTGTGATTTACTAAGAGGTGCCCCTCTGGGCTGACACAGCTCCGCTCTAGCACTCTGCTTGGCGAGCAGAGCGCAGACTGGTTTGTGGCCGCTGTTTACCCCCTTGTCCACGTGTTTTGGCCCAGTGCACAGCCTGTCCAACCACACCTGGCATCCCTGCCCAACGATGTTTGGAAATTCATAAAGTGCAAGACTCACAGGACAGGAATTCAGAGCATCTTATTCACTCACCACTGAGTACTCAGGACGCATTTATAGAGTGAATAAAGCAATGTTACGATGAGGATTATCAGTCCACACCACATGTATTAAGCACATACTGTGACAGGGCCCCCTGGGTGCAGAGGGCCCAGCGGTGAGCAAGCAGATGCGTTCTCTCCCCGCCCCCTCTAGGAGCTCACATCCCAGAAGAGCAGGCAGCACCTAAGTGTGTATGCCAGGGTGAAGCCGCCAGGATGGGAGGGTGGCATCGGTGGTTAGCAGGGCGGTCAGACAGGCCTTCCTGAGGAAATGTCATTTAAACCAAGTCCTGAAGGGTGAGAAGAAGCCATGTAAAGAGCTCTGCCTTCAGGCCAAGGCAAGAATGCAACGCAGGAGGCCTGGCCCCATAGCCTAGTGGATAAGGAAGCCGGAGGCTGACCATGGCTCAAATGCTGGACCCAGCAGTTTGAAAACCACACCAGGTGCATGCGTACGTGTGCCCCAAATCCCAACAAGATGGAGAAACAAGAAGCGGTCACGGCATGACCACACCCCCATGGGAGCGCCTTCCTCTCTCTCTCTCTCTCTCTCTCTCTCTCTCTCACACACACACACACACACACACACACACACACAGGTGCCCCCTGGTAATTAGAGAAAGACAAAGAATGCAATACATGGATGTATGTAAAAATGACAGCGAACACAGATCGGCTCTGTGCCAGGCTCCGTCTCCATGTGCTTGCTCACTAACTTGTCACAGACCCAAAGGCAAAGGCACCATGATGTGCCCATTTACTGAGGTGCAAAGAGAGAAGTGTCTTTCATTAAGGACGTGGTCGAGCCCAGGAGGTCTAGAGTCTGCTGCTGGCCCAGGCCCATCATCCCTCGTGAGTGGGCCAGGCTTCGCACAGGGCCTGGCCCTTAGCCACCATCACTGGTTTATCAAGTGCTTACTGTCCTTGGCACTGCGACTGCGACAAGTGCTTTACATGTATCCATTCATTAAATAAATTGTTGCTGTTACTGAGCAATCATGATTCCAAATAATTACAGCCTCTGGCCTCATTTCCTTAGCTCTGAACAGATCCAAAGCAGTGGGGACTGGCAGTGGCTCGGTGCTGACTCCCGAGGCCACACAAATGGGAACCCTGTGGGCTCCAGAGTCTCTGAATGCAGGGACACCCTGAGGAGTGATGCTCCAGCTATTTACAGCTCGAACCTGGGCAGCGAGACTGGATTCCTTTGCAGCTGGCTTGAAGAGGATGGCCCCTGCCTCTCTGCTTGAGTTCAAATCCCTCAGAACCTCTAATCCCCAACTTCCAGTTGCTGGGAGAGCAGCAGCATTTGGTCAGTGTTTGGGCTGACCAGTGGGCTCTCGAGCTGGAGGTCAGAGTCAGGTCAGCTCCCACTGCCACCAGGAGAAAAGGGGCCCGACCCAACTCGGGGTGTGACAGAGTGAGCCGTGTGACAGAGTGAGCCGTTCCCTCGAGCACAGCTGAGCTGGCGGCCAAGGTCCTCAGGCTCACCACAGCCAGGCAGGACTCTACCCTGGCTAAGAAATAGCCCCCAGACAGAGCAGCAAGTCTGGGCAGAGGAAAAGTTGCCCACCTGCAACTCCGCTATTCACTTTTCTAAGCCCCAAATGATGACCTTTCCACCGAATCTTAGGGAGCCACAAAGAAAATCCTTCAGAAAAGACAGGACGTGGGCCGAGGACTGTGCTCTGCGTGGGTTACGTACGCACATGGCGGCAGAGTGAGGGTAAGAGGAAGGTGGCCACTGTCACGCCGGCCGATAGAATGTGGCAGACGCAATGCCATGTGGTTGCTAAGGCTAGGTGATGAGGAGCCACTTCTTTTTTTCTTGTCGTTGCTCTCACTCTCTCTCTCTCTGGGTGATCGCCCTCCAGCCCAGCCACCGTGCTAAGAGGAAGCCCGAACTAGGCCCCATAGAGTGGCCCCTAGCTGGGTGCCCCTTAGAGGCACTGAGGCCCCCGGCTAACAGCCAGTACTGCACACCAGGCAGGCAGGTGACGGAGTCTTTGGACCATGCCACCCTGGCCTTCAGGCAGCCACATCTGTCCCTCCAAGCTCTGCCCGGATGACAGGTGTGTGTGCAGAACAAATGAGCGTTATACTCCAGATAACCAGAAGAACAGGTACCCCCAAATGAGAATCCTGGTGCAAATTCAAACCTGAGAGCTGCCTGTGAGATTAAACGGACACTGCTGATGTAGTGAAATCGCGGGTACAAAGGCTACCCGTCCCCTTAGTGCGCTGTTAGCTGGTTCCTCCTCAAGTCCGTGTGTCCGGCCAGGCTAACATTGGCTTTGGCGGCGAAGTGAGTGCCAACAGCAAGTCCGTGGACAGAACACAGCTGCCACGGGGTCCCAGCTGGCCACGGACTGGGGAATTAGCAGGTCAAGCGCTGCCTGCTGGTGTCTTCGGAGTGCCAGGCTCACTGCCAGGCTGTCTGGTTGGAGAAGTGCTTTCTCGCCAGGCTGGCAGGGGCCTGGGCAGGCAGAAATATGGCCACCTCCATCGCTCTGGCCTGGCCATCGCTGTCTAGAGTGTCCTGCGGGGACGGCCTCGGGCTCCTGGTGCATTGCAGCTGCTACAGGACGCCCGCCATCTACCAGGACACATGAACCGCGCTGGCGTCTGCCTGGCCCCAGAAGAGACTGGAGTGGGCCTGGTCTGCCAGCCGAGTGGGACATGGGTCCAGTTCACAGCCGAGCAGGATGCCAGGACACTGAGGTTCATGGAGTATGGCCTAAGGAGGGCCGTGTCCACAGCACAAGTGCCCAGTTCAAGGTCCCGCGTGGTCAGTTCTCGGACAGCATGCTGTGGAGGTGAGGTCAGGAGAGGGGGTTGAGCCTGGAAGCTTTAGGAGGCAGCCCTGACCCTGGGAGGGTGTTGACAAGGTGGGGATAGGCGTGGGCAGTGGGAAGGAAGGAGGTCTTGGTGGACAAGTCCATCACAGGCCAGGGGACAGGGAGGAGTGCTGGACTGTCATCTTCACAGTAAGACGCAGGAAACGCTTAGGGCAAGTGCCTGTGGGATGAGCCCAGAAGCAGGGGGCCGCCTGCACACCGAGACAACAGCGAGAATGGCTTCTAAGTCCCTGCAGGAGGGTCTTCCCGATGCCAAGGCCTCGCCTCGCCCTGATCCCTCACCTACCCAGGGAGAAGCCCCAGGGACCTAGTCCCCGAGGCCTGTGGCACTCCTCCACTGAACCCAGTGCGGAGACAGAGAGCCCCAGGTGGGGCTGGGTGGTTACCGGCCTGCCTGCTGCCCCTGCCCACTTCGGGAGGATTCTACCAGCCCTAGGGGCCCTTGGGGTTCTTCCCGCCCGACCCCACCGTGGTCACCTCATCCAGGGCACAGCTGGGGTCATCTCAGGCTGATCCGTGAGTCCAGCTGCTGCAGGTGTTCCTGGACGC